GGAAGAGGTGCTAAGGATGGAGGTGGACCGGATCCTGCCCATCTCGACGGACATCAAACCGCAGAACGTCCACGTCGAGATCGAGCAGCGCTGGCACCAGGTGGAGACCACGCCGCTGCGGGAGGAGAAGCAGATCCCCATCACGCCCCTGCACCTCGCCCACGCCGAGGACCGGGACGAGGGGCTGACGAAGCAGCACTTGACCACGCTGCTGGAGAAGGAGGTAAGGTGGGGTGCAGGCCACTGCAGGAACTGTAGGAAGCTGAGCAAGGTTTAAAAAAGCTGCGTTTGTTTCTACTTTGTGACAGCGACGAGTGGGGATGCTGTAGGATCCCCTGGGAGCTGGCAGGGCACAGATCTGTGTCCGTTCCCATCTGGCTCTGCTGGCAGCCTGCCTCTGGTGAGATGGGTACAGTCCACGTGTGTTAAGCAGATTCTAAATTCAAGCTCATGCTTCTGTGTGCCTCTGCAGCTGTAGATTAGTGTCTGCAGTTATGTCTACCAGGCTATAAGCTGGCTTGGGTTATAGCACACAGCACAAAGGTTCCCTGTTTGCGGAGCCCGCATCAGGCCATCTTATGATTTTAGGAACAGAGAGGGGGAGGCTCAGCTCGCTTGGAAGAGGTCCACGCCTGGGGTAACAAAGGTTTTTGTTGGTTGGGCTGAAGGTGTATTAGCAGGAATGGAAAGGGTGCAGGCGTGGAGTAAGCAGGAGTATCGCTGATCTGAACCGGGCTGGGATTTGCCTGGGTCCTGCCTGGCACGAGCTGGTGCCATTCGTCCTTAGCTTTGCGGTGAGCTTTACGAATTAAACTACCGCGTAGCTTAGTTCTTTCAGGGGGAGGGATCTTGCCTGGCAAAATGAAATCCAGATCCCAGAGCAGAGCAAAGCAGTGGTGCCATCAAAAGCCCCGTTCATTCTGCTCTGCGTCCCCTCCGAGCCGCCGACTCCTGATGTCCGACCCCCTGCCCACTCCCTGGACGCTGTCTCTGTTCGTGTCCCTCCAGCTGGAGCAGAAGCAGAAGGAGGCCCTGGAGCTCCTGGAGCAGAACCGGCACCTGCAGGACCAGCTGAAAGTGGCACTGGGCCGGGAGCAGAGTGCCCGGGAGGGCTACGTGTTGCAGGTAGGAGAGCGGGGAGGAGAGAGAAGCCTGTCTTCCTCTGCGCCCGAAGGGGACCCTGGGTGGGCTTCAGTCCTGGGTGTTCGTGGGGGCACCCTGGTCGATGCGGAGATCTGCACCACTCTGCAAGAGGTTTGACCTTCTTGGAAATTTTGCTCGTTCTGTAGTCGTACCAGGATCATCTGCTTAACAAAACCACTGAGCTGGGATGCGGTAGACAGAAGATAGCATTACCTACTGGTGTTCCCGAGGGAAAACAGCCGTGGGAGACAGATGGGACCTCAGCAAAGTCCACCTCGGATCCATCCTGTGCTGTGTTTGCCTATGCAGCGGCTCTTTCCCCCTTGCTGTGCCCCGGGTTGTCCCCTCGGGCAGTGAGGTCCACCTAAGGCTTGCGAAGCCTCTCGTAGCCCAGCGTTGCTCCTGGCCGGGGAGTTTGTGTGGCGGGGTTGTGGGACCTGCCGGCGTACCCCCCTGGCCCGTTCCCCGCAGCCAGAGAGGGATTTGCACCGGCACGACCTGTTGTCGCCTTGGGTGGTTTCTTCTGTTACCAGATGCCTTTCTTGCAAAGCCTAGAAGTGTGTTTTGGAGGTTCTGGCAGAAGAGATGGGAAAGTCTCTTGGGAAGCCTTTCCTCCCCTCCTCCAAACACAGCTGATTTTTTCCAGCCCTTGCTCTGGGAGCGTCCATGCCCGGAGGAGCCGTGGTGCCTGCAGGGCAGCTTCTGGCTGCTCTCCTGGGTCCGTAGTCCTGTTTTGTGCAGAGTCAGCGTTTTGACCTGCTCAAATCTACTTGGCCAAACTGGCTCTGGATTGAAGTCACCACACGCTGTACTCCCAGGGCAGCAAACCCGGTGTCGACGCTGAGCCTTGTGTCCTTATTTCTCACGGGAGAAATTTCCCCCGAAGAAGGCACCAACTAAAGCACAGGAAGTTCTGTCTGAATATGAGGAAGAATTTCTTCACTCTGAGGGTGACGGAGCACTGGAACAGGCTGCCCAGGGAGGTTGTGGAATCTCCTTCTCTGGAGATATTCAAGACCCGCCTGGACAAGGTCCTGTGCAGCCTGCTGTAGGTGACCCTTCTTCGGCAGGAGGGTTGGACTAGATGACCCACAGAGGTCCCTTCCAACCCCTACCATTCTGTCATTCTGTGAAGTTACACGGGCAGTGGAGCCGGCCCAGGTCAGGGGGCATCTTGCCTTCCTTGCCGGAGATCTCCTTGGAGGAGATATTAATGCATTTATTTCTGGAGTCCCCGAGCTGACAGTGCTGGCTTGGAGGAGCTCCATTTTCACTTGGCAGTGTTGGAAAAGTAACCAACTCCCACTTCCCTGGGGCAAAGGTATCTGACCTTGCTTTGCCTGGAGCCTGGAAAAATCAGGGAATGAGGCTAAAAGCTGGATGCTGAATCCGCCGTCAGATTGGCCGTGTTGAGGTTGGCAGCAGTGCCTCGATACGAGGAGGGGGGGCAAGAGGGGAAGTCTGCAGAAGGGCTGAGCAGATCGTCGCTGCAGTAAGAAGTGACCCAAGCTTGGACCTAAAGTTTGAAAGGGTTTTTGGAAGGACTGGGGGCTTTTTCTTGCTCTAGTCTAGTTGTTCTGAGCATTTCCCTTACACTTCCCCGGGAGCAGAGGGATTAAAGTGCCGAGGCAGAAGGGAGGAACCCCACCAAACCCTGCTAGGGTGAAGGGAGTGAAAGCGCTGAGGCGGGGGTCTGCGGCCCCAGACTGCGGGCAAACATCACAGCCCTTTTTTTTTTGGTGGACCATCTGAATTTCGTGTGCCCCTCACTTCCATCATGCCTAATTTTGGAGAGATTCCGACGTTGTCTGTGGGGCGGGAGGATGGAGGAGCCTGACTGCTGCCAGCCTGTCCCTCCCGAGCTGTCCGGGGGGCACCGACCCCTCCTTGGCAGCACGAACAGCCCCATCCAGACCCCCAGGCGTTGCCCTGACATCAAAGACGCTGCGCGTTTCGTGAGGCAGCTGCTGAGATGCCCACCCCGATGCATGTGCCATGCACCAACGCCTCTCCGGCCTCGCGTAACCCCTCTCTCGCTCTGAGCTTCCTCGGGATGGGGCACCCCAACTTTGAACCCTACTGGGGGGAACGGCGGGGGGGGCCGCTCCTCGCAAACGGGCCGGAGCCGTCCCCGGCTCTGGTCACGGCGGGCGGGAGGGGTCACGTACTAACCTGTCCCGGGCAGATGTTCTTGCATGTTTTTGGTGTAAAGCATGAAATTTAACTTAACGTAACTGAGTGTCACATCTGTGGGCTTTCCTTATCAGCAACCAGAGTACAGCAAGGCAGGCCAAATTCCTAGGCTTCACGCTGTGCTTCTCTCGCCTCTTCCTGTCTGTGTATTTTTTTTAAAGATACATAATTTCTGTCGCCTTTTGCATGACTCTCTCTGTGAGTTTTCTCTCTGCATGCTACATTGCTTTGGTTTGAATCTCACACAGGTTGGTTTCTTTTATTTTACATTCTCATCACACCTTTTCCCCCCCTTCACTTGTCGGGCTTTTTATTTTGTCCTTTGTTTTCTTTATTTTGCAGGTTAGAGAAATTAGACCCTCCCTAGTCTTAAACTGTAGCGTAACAACATCTCTTTAATGCGATGAGCAGCCACTAAGTCCTGTCTGGCAGTCGCAGAAATGACATCGCCACGCCGGCTGTCCTGCCTCCCTGCGTCTGGGTGGGATGTGATGTCATTTGCTGTCACCTCGCTTTCTGTCGTTGCTTTTGGTCGGTAGGACTGCGTTACCTGAACTGTGCACTTTTTGTTTCACGACAAAGCAGACAAACGTGCTAAAAAAAGCAAGTCCTTTCTTCTCGACCTGTTCCCATCCCCTCCTCCTCCTCACCCTTCCCGTTTTTCTCTCGTCTGTCCGTCTCTGTTTTACTGCTGGTGTTCCTTTTTCATCGTTTTTTGGTTCTATTTGATTTTGGTTTTTTTTTTTCCTTTTAGCCTGTTACTGTACAGCTGTTTTGATGTTGTGGTCCGTGTTTTCTGTTACTGGAAAGCAGCTGTTGCTCATTCAAAAAAAAAAAAACAACCAAAAAAAGTTAGTTAAAACAAACAAAAAAAATTGTGCCAGGAATAAATCATCCCAATTGGAGCATGTGGGTGGCAGCCAAAGCGCTGCGAGGAGCTTTTCCGTGGCCTATCTGGCCAGAGGTGTGACACTCAGAAGGGAGAGCCAAGAGTGTTACTAATCTAGTATTTAATCAATTTTTTTAAGACCGAGGTGGCCACCTCGCCATCAGGTGCCTGGCAGAGGCTCCACAAAGTCAACCAAGACCTCCAAAGCGAGCTGGAAGCCCAGTGCCAGCGCCAAGAGCTGATCAATCAGCAGATTCAGTCACTGAAGCGCAGCTACGCCGAGGCCAAGGACGTGATCCGGCACCACGAAGCCGAGATTCAGAGCCTGCAGGCGAGGCTCAGTAACGCAGCAGCCGAGCTCTCCATCAAAGAACAGACCCTGACCAAGCTCAGGAGTGACCTGAGGAGCGAAAAGGAGAAAGCCAAAGAGCAGCTGGAGGAGTGGCAGCACGGCGAGGCCGCGCTCAGCTCCCAGCTGAAGGCCAGCGAGCAGAAGCTGAAGAGCGCGGAGGCTCTGCTCCTGGAGAAGACCCAGGAGCTGCGGGACCTGGAGATGCAGCAGGCTTTGCAGAGGGACCATCAGAAGGAGGTGCAGCGGCTCCAAGACAGGATCGCTGACCTGAGCAGGCAGCTGAACACTAGCGAGCAAGCGCGGATCCTCATGGAGGAGAAGCTGCAGAAGAATTACGAGGCTTTGCTGGAGAGCTGCGAGAGGGAAAAGCAGGTTTTAATACGGAGTCTGAAGGAGGTGGAGGATAAGGCCAATGAGTATGAGAACCAGCTGCAAAATAACGAGCAGCAAATGGAGATTCTGCAGAAGGAGAAGCTGAGCGCGAAGTTCGAAGGCAGCGAGCTTGTCCACCAGCTGGAGGAGCAGCTGGTGATGAAGGAGACCAGCATCCAGAAACTCGCAGAGCACATCAAGGAGCTCGAAAGAGAGAGAGATCAGATCAAATGTCGGTTCCACGAGCTCATGAATCAGGTTGCTGAGTCAGATAATGAAGTTGCAAAGCTGCAAGCAAAGTTGAAAATGGAAGAGACCAACTACCACAACCTGGAGCAGTTGTTCGAGGAGGTGTCGGATCAGTTCCAGGGTGTGCAGAAGGTGCTGAAAGAAAAAGAAGAAGAGCTGAGACACGTTAAGGAAATGCACTTGAGAATTTTGGAGAAGAAAGATCAAGATCTCAGTGAGGCTTTGGTTAAAATGGTTGCTTTAGATAGCAGTTTAGAGGAGACGAAAGTAAAGCTAAAGGCCAAAGAGGAGGCTTTAAAGAAATTAGCTAGTGTAGGCACAGGTCCGTGTGCTGAGGAGGCGGAAGACCTTGGCCCCAGTCTTGAGGCTGATGAAAGTCATCCATCCCAACTGGGGCAGCCTCTGCAAACTCAGGATGTCCTCCCAGCTCTGACTTACGCACTGAAGGAGGAGGAGGAGGATGAGGTTCTTGAGACCAGCCAGAGGCAGGCAGAGGAATTCGGCTCCCCGTCCAAAGCTGTAGAGCTCCAGGACCAAGAGTTAGTTCAGAAAGCCTTAGCAAAGCCTGATGTAGGAATCATGGGGGCCAAGAGGCAAAGAATCCGTTTTTCAAGCATCCAGTGCCAAAAATACATCCATCCAGATGGATCAGAGAAAAACTGGACAAGCAGTACCTCTTCAGATACTAGTCAAGACAGATCACTGTCTGAAGAAAGCATGTCATCAGAGCCAGCTCTTGGTTACCCGTCATCAGGGACAAGCGACTCTGAGACCTATCTTTCAATCATCCATTCCCTGGAAACCAAGCTTTATATTACAGAGGAGAAACTCAAAGATGTGACAATGAAGCTTGAAAGCCAGCACGGCCATAATCAGGAGACGCTTATTGCCCTCCACCATCAGTGGGCCAGCACAGAGTCTCAGCTGCGGGAACAACTTCAGACCAGCTTATCCCAAGTCAGTGCTTTGATCTCACAGCTGGAGAGTGAGAGGCAGGAAAAGTTCAAGCTCATAGAAAATCACGTTAGTGAGCTGGGAGGTTTCCAAATGAAAAATGATCAAGCGCTGACTTGCTTGGAGAAGTGCAGGGAGCAGCTAAGATCTTTGCCCAAATCAGACAAGGAAAAAGAGGGTGATTTGTTCCTTGTTACTCTGTCCAGCATGGAGACGACCTTATCAAACGCAATCCAAGCCTTGAGAGGGGCCTCAGTCCTGTCGGAGTATCAGCAGAGCGAGAGCCTTATCGCGGAAAGCCCCGCTCCAGAAGGAGGTTTGCTGGGAGAAGAGGAGCACGTCTCCAAGGAGCAGCGAGCGGAAACGTTTGACGCCGGCCAGCTGAGATGGCTTTCTGAGAGAGTGGCATTAGAGGCCTCCCTCATCAACCAAATAGCGGAGTCTTTGAAAAACGCAAGCTCTGAGATATCTCAGCTTCTGAGAGAGATCCAGGGAACAGCTGACGTGGTTTTGTTGGAGCCAGCAAATGTTTCTCATACAGCAGTCGACTTGGCCGGCGTCCTATCTAAGAAGCTGCTGCTGGAGGGGGAGTTCTGGAGCCAGGTGGAGGAGCTGAGAGTGCACTTGAGCACCAGGGAAGGAGAAGCCGAGGGCAAAACAGAAACAACAGGTCTGGGCTTTTCTCCGTGTTTTCTCAGTGCTGTAGCAGATGCTACATTGATCAAGGCAGAACTTGGATTTGTTGCACAGAAAATGAGAGAATCTTTCCATCAGAGATTAAAAACAATCGAAGAAGACCTCCACAATACCAAAACAGCTCTCCAGCAGCATAAATGTATGTTGGAGGTGATTGTCAAAGTGTACAGGACTCCTGATTTTGACAGAGTTATGCACCAGATTTCTGAAGCACTTGAAATTCAGGAAGATGCTTCAGAGAGAACCCAAATCTCCTGGGATGGGAGCTGTCTCCAGATGAAGCCGTGTCAGGAATTAGCCAAGGCGGAGGAGATTGGCAGCCTGCCGGACTGCAGTAGTGAAGCTCTTGTTTCCATTCAGGAAGATCTTGCCCAACAACTAAAGGACAAATCAAATGTTCTGAAGGAAATATCTGTTGCCTTACTCTCTCTGCCTCCTGAAGAGGCAATGAGAGACTGTCAGAAGCTCCTGAAGATCTCTCAGAGTCTTTCGTATCGTTCATGCATGGGAGACCTGGAACGGTATTCCTCTTTGTTAGTCCAAGATGCAATTGTTCAGGCTCAGGTTTGCTATGCTGCTTGCAAAATCCGACTGGAGTACGAGAGAGAGCTGAAGTCCTACAAGGAGTCCTTGCAGAGCATGGACGCGCTCTGCCAAGAGCGCGTGAAGACGGTCTCTCTCCTTCGGGATGAGTACGAAGACTTGCTTAGAAAGCAGCAGGGTGAGTACGGCGAGGTGATCGCCATGCTTGAACGGGAGAACGCTGATCTCAAAGCAAAGGTGTCCCAGCTTGACAGTCAGCGAAGGCTGTTGGAGGAAGAAGAGCATAAGCACAGCAAGAGCTTGAGCGAATTGCAGGGACGGTATGAGGAGGAGATTCGAAACGTGATAGAGCAACTGAACAGGACAGAGGATGCTCTGAAGGCCGAGAGGACAGAGGGCCTCAGCCAGCTGGATGCCATCGTCCGTGACAAGCAGAACATGGAGCGGTATCACCTGGAGCAGATGCAAATGCTGGAGGACAAGTTCCAAGCCAAGATCAAGGAGCTGCAGGTCATCCACGGCGAGGAGCTGCAGGCGTTGCAGGAGCACTACAGCCAGAACCTGCAGCGCTTGCAGGAGACCCTGGATGAGTACCAGAGGCAGCACCCGGAGACGTCCCCTGCGGCAGGCCCAGGTGGTGGGGACGCCTGGATGGCTGGTGGGACAGGTGGCACCGGGCAGGGCCCCGGCAGCGACCTGGACTCCATGCACGGCCTGAGGGAGCGCATCCAGGAGCTGGAGGCGCAGATGAACGTCATGAGGGATGAGCTGGAGAACAAGCATCTGGAGGGGAACGCTTCCACCTTGAGGGAAAAATACCAGAAAGACTTTGAAAACTTAAAGGTCTTGATACATTTAATGCTTTACACTTTACGTTGCTGAGTGCGCAGGAGGGCGCGTTTGGTCCTGGGGTTCACTTGCTGAACCAAGGGGTGTCCCCCAAAAGAGCCAGCACACCAAGCAAGCCCCACAGTGTTAGAAGGGCCTCTGTGAAGCACGGCGTTTCCCTTTTCTCCATGCTGGGGTATTCTAAATGCATTGCTGAGGGCTTGCTCTCGGTGAGAGAGCTGGTGGTTGGAGGTGGTCTCTGATCTTTAAGGTCCCTTCCAACCTTTGCCATTCTATGTAGAGGGAGGGAGGGTTTTGAAGTAGCTTGATGACTTCACGTTGTCCTTCAGTTGGGAGACCGTAATGTTTCTCCTTGTACCTGAGGAGTACGTTTTGTTCGTGACTTCTCTTTAAAAGCATTCCTCAACTCTGTCTTTCCTAGTCTGATCAAATCTCCAGTCTGTCTCCGCTGCCCTCAGAAATGTCAGATGAAACGGAAACTTAACGCTCTCAAAATGCCTGTTCCTGGGGAAAGCAGCTGCAAGCAGATGCCAAATTCTGCAGCAAAGCAAAGCTCTTCTGCACGAGGCTGCAGGGAGAACCACCCTGGTGTTGCACACCAGCAGTTCTTCAGCAACAAACAGTGCACAGTGACGGGAAACCCAGGCTGGGCGCAGAAAAACGCGGTGGCAATGAAGTGCCCATGTTCAGATTGCTCCACCAGGCAGGGCTGGCTGTAAAACCAGCCTGGGACGGTACAGCGTCTGAAAAAACCTCTTGGGTTTGGTGTTTTGCTTCTGGTTGGAGAGCGTTGCAGTTAGGAAGTGGGTGTAGGGCAGCAGATGACACCCGGCGGCGTGCAGGGAGGCTTCCAGGGTGAACGGGCAGCCCGAAGGGCAGCGATGCCGGCTGCGTGCCGAGGCCGTGCTGGTGAGGCCCTCATGGAGCGTTGGCAAAAACGTGAGCGAGCTGGCTTCCAGCCGCAAGATCTTGAGCGTAGCTTTGGGCTGGGGGTAAAGCCCAGCTCAGCTCTGGCCAAAAGCTGGTTTTAGCCCGGGGAGAGCAGTGGTTCTGCTGCGTCCTGTCAGGGTCAATTGGGTGTCCTGGGGAGGGAGAGCTGCTGGGGAGATGGGAGGGAAGCGGAGGTGTTCCCTGAACGCCATCTCCTCCATCTTAATCCTGAAGAAGGACAAACCCTGCTTGAACGCCCGGCTCAGGTCAGCGGGACACACAGGTAACGCCATGTCCTGCCTGCTGGCACCGAGGAGGGGCACCGGTACCGGGGGATGTTCTTGCTTTGGAAGAAGCAAGAAAGACCAGAACCAAAATAGAGGCTGAAAAATAATAGCAAGCACTGAACCTGAACCTCCTGCCTCTGTTTTCGGCTGTGCCCTGCCAGACTTGCAGCTTGCCCGGTGGGAAGGCAAGCGGTGTCTTCTGGGCAGAGCGGCGCGGCCTCTCCCTGCAGCTCTGTAGGAAGCAGAGGGACAGACAGCAAAACAGAGACCTCCCTTGGTTAGAAAGCTAACCAGGCGATGGGAAACTGGTCCGGTTTACAGGCTAAAATGTGCTCAGTTCTGCTCTGCTGAGGCTGATGGAGGATCTGTGAGAGGCTGGTCTGTACGTGTTCGAATGTCCTGGGTTTGCAGCAGTGCATTTACAGTACGTTAAATACTGGGTCTCCAGCCAGAGCTACGGAGCAGCGTTCGCCATTTTCCTCCAGCGTTAGAGGTGCAGTGAGGAATCCTGCGATGCGGCTTCCTGCCTCTGTAATCGGCCAAGTCCAGGCAGGTTCTGGCACTGAGTTATGAGTTTCAAAAAAAAAAGGGCTGAGAAAATGAAGGATGCCTCAGGATTCAAACTTAAAGGGGAGCAATAAGAGCACCAGAGCTGAAAATTGGGAGTGGCACAGATATGGAGCGTTAGACGACGAAGCGATGCTGAAGAGTGTGTGTTAGAGCAGGTCAGCGGGTGTTTGACTGTCGTGAGCAGCTTTGTCAGTGGGGGAGGGAATTTGTCCCCCTTAGATCTCCCGTGGAGTCCCAACGGCTCCCTCGGTGACAGTTCTCGCTGCCCGCGGAAAACACGAGTGTCGATCAAGAAGAAACGCGCTGAGGTCAGGAAATAAAGCCAGCCTGTAACATCAAGAGGGAGAGAAGCCCGGTGCAGTGCTTGGCATCAGAAGGGGCACAGTGGGTGCTTTTTTTGTTATTGTTTTTAACATATCTTTGCATTCCCCAATCATATCTGACCCCAGACCTACCCCATCCTTCCCTTTCACCAGAGCTGTCAGGGGTCGAGCTGGCAGGACAAGCTCCGACCTTGCGAGGTCCATCTTCAGCTGGCTCCTCTGTGGCTGGGAAGGGAGAAGATCCCCGTGATGGGACTTGGGTGCTGACCCACCCACTGGTGTGCAGCTCCAGGCAGGCTCACCACTGCTGTGATGCTGGCCCTGGGCTCCTGGGCCAACCCCTTCCCTCACCCCTTTTGCAGGCAACATGTGAAAGGGGCTTTGCAGCCATGGAGGAGACACACCAGAAGAAGATCGAGGACCTGCAGCGGCAGCACCAGCGGGAGCTGGAGAAGCTGCGGGAGGAGAAAGACCGCCTGCTGGCAGAAGAAACGGCTGCCACCATTTCAGGTACGGGGACACGCCAGAAGGTTCCCTGCGGTGGGGTAGCTCCGTGTTGATGGGGACATGGGGATGGCTTTGCTCCAGTCCTGGTCCTTCTCCAGGCTTGGTATCCCTCTCCTTGGCTGTAACATGGTCTGATCCATTTTCTGTTCCATCTCAGAAAGGCCTTAGTCATTCCTGTGGTTAATTTATTGCTGATTTCACGCTGAATTCATTCTTCAGTGCCCCAGGGAGTTTTAAAGCGCTGGAGCCCAGGGTCTCTGCCTTAGAAGTCCCACAGTCCAGGAAGAAACATGTGAATTGGACAATCGTTTGGACTTTATGAAATAAAGAGTGGGATTTGCAGAAGCTCCTGTGCTGCTTTGCAGCCAGGGGCACAGACTGAAGGGGCCGCAAAGCAGTGGGAGGTTCGCTGGGATGACTCGGGTTTTGTTCCTTTGAAAAACAAACAAAGCAAAATTCAAAAAAAATCTGCCCTTGGGTGAGCGGGTGCTGGGTCTACCGCTGTGCTGTCCCCCGCAGCCATCGAAGCCATGAAGAACGCGCACCGGGAGGAGCTGGAGCGGGAGCTGGAGAAGTCCCAACGCTCGCAGATCAGCAGCGTCAACGCCGACATCGAGGCCCTCCGAAGGCAATACCTGTAAGACCATCGTCATCCTCTGCCTGTCGCTGTGTCCTGCAGGGAGACCACGCCTGTGGGAGACCCCTTTCACCCCTTTGATTTGGGCAGAGTTAGGGGCAGACCTGTCATCTCAGGGACCTCTTCCCTTGGTCCCGACTCAGCTGTGCCCATCGAAGGCTCCTGGTTGCCTGTAATGTTTCGGGCTCCAGGTCAATGTCCCCAGACTACCCAAATTCAGCTGCGTTATGGTCACCAGAAGTAGCAGATGTACAGACATGATGCTGCTTGACACGCAGCTGAGGCGAGAGGTTGCTCAGCCGGATCTAACCAGGCGAGGAGAAGGCACTGAGCTTCTCGTGGCAAGGCTGTCCTCACGTGGGAGCTGAGCAAAACAGCCACGTGGCTTTCTTGACCTTGATGCATCTATGCAAGATGTGTAGGTGTGCAAATACACCCAGTCCCGAGTGCCAGGGCGAACTTGATAGATCTCAGCTCAGTTTTTGGAGGCTTGAGGAAGTCCTGACATTCAGCCTCCTGGAGAAAGACCTCCCGTCCCCTTTGGTGCCCGAGCACTGCTCTGCCAGGAGAGGGAAGGGCTGGCTCGCTCTGGGCTGGAGGCTTCTCCGAAAGGGATGATCCAATTCCTCCTCCACAGCTCTTGGATCCCTGTCGGGTTGTCCCGGGGCGCTGGAGGAAGGGTGGGCGCGGGTGGGTGTGAGCGGGGAGGGCACTGCCTGGCGTGTGTCCCACCAGGGAGGAGCTGCAGTCGGTGCAGCGGGAGCTGGAGGGGGTTTCGGGGC